CTGAAGATGCCAGCCACAGAGACTGGTGAAACATTAGGAAGAACAACCTTCAGAACGTGGCCAAAGAGCCCGAAAAACCCACAACAACCATTAGATCCTGGCCGTGAAAGCCTCCGCGAATATATAATACAGTAGCTTTATTGATAATTGTTTATGCAATCCATGCTTTGTATTAACCCCTGCACTTGGCCCTGATCATCTTTATTTAGAAATAAATGTTACTGAAACATACAGGGCATCTCAACAGAATAAATGCATCTAGAACTGAGAAGTGAAAGATACACAATTAGATGTAAGGTTTTGAAGATATTACACTTATCTGACAAACCTGCACTATTTATGACCTGGAAAGCAGAGCAGACTAGCAGTATATGATGGCTCATCTGTGGTTAGAAGAGACCTTCTGCTTTTGCCCAAGCAAGGCAACAGAACAGGGGACTTTGTCAAGTCACCATGTACAGCTGGCAGGCTGCATTTAGTTCAGCAAACATGTGAGATCCACCCACTAAATAATCATCATCATTTCTGATATGTCAGCCCTTTCCAGACTTTTTCTAGGTAGGGAATACACAGATGTGGTTCACCATTTCCTTCTCCTGGGGGCACCCTAGAATTGGGCAGTTTGCCCACGATCACACAAGCTGGCTCTACTCACAGGAGGCACAGTGAGGAATCAAACTCCCAACCTCTGGCTCTACAGCCAGAGACCTAAACTACGGAGCTATGAAGGACCCACTAAGAGTGTCCTGTTATTGCAAGGGAGAGTAACACCAGGAACAGGGAAGGTGCTGTTTCTGATTGTAGCTCCCTAAGACCACGTTCAGTGAGAGAAGGCAGTGTGGCTGTCAGGATGCAAGGCATCTGCCCATTTTACCAGGTCCCTATGTCATCAACTGCTATTTGAAAGGCTACCCTGATTGTCTGGGGCTGAGGCAACAAATAGGCAATAAAAGGGACAGATCTGTTTCTAACAAAGGTTTTTTTATATATAAATTGAAGGTTTGCAGTAGAGCTGCACAGACCAAAGGATACCAACAAGAATTATTGAGATGCCAAGCAGTGTACTACAGAGCTTCATTTTACTATCAGCAAGGTGCACATTTAAAAACTGTTCATACACACTTGGTCTGCAAACCAAAATCGCAGTAACAATCTGGAATAGTGAAGAGACCAGCAATAGTTTTTCCCTCATGGGTGCCTTTATCTTCCTTTATGGCCTCATCAAAGAAAACCAACTTCTTCCATCAAGTCTCTTGCTTGACCACAGTAAATCTACCACAGCACACTGTAAACCACATAATTGCATTTGGTTTCAATTCCTCCTGCCCCCACATTCATGCCTGTCCTATTTCTCTGGTTGTGTCCAGGTGAGGCACGTAAAACTATTGCAGGATGGCAGGGCAGGGCTTTGAATAAGTTCCTTTTTTGCACTGTAACCACCAGGATCTCAGATGCTGAACTGCTTTTGTTTTGTTTTTTACAGGAATGTTTCCAAACTCTGAGAGAAAGAGAGACCATGTCCCGTGACTTCACCCCAATAAGCTACAGATGGATGTAGCCCAGCTCTCAAGATTTCTTTCTTTTTTCCCTGACAAAAATGTGAAAACCTCAGTCTACCACTGTTGTTTACTCTTCTCTGAATTCTTATGAGGATGATGAGGATCTCAATGGAAGAAATAATGCTGGCTAACCTGCTTTTGGCACTCAGAACCATTGCATAGTGAATTGGAAAATGTAAATTTTCACTCTGGATGATATAATTCCCCTTGACCTTGGTATCTAAATATTTTCCCCAGCCAAAACAGAACAAAGCAAAAACAAAAGAACAGTAATTACCAAGGTCTCTCAAGAGACTACTGGATTTATGCAAAGCCTGTAATCTTAGTTGTACTAACTATCATTTTATATTGTTGTAAACACACCAGGATAGCTCCTAAAGAGATGGTAACTGCTTAACTGCAGCATTTAAGTGAATCATTTGATTATCTCTGTCAGCAGAGTATCAGTTCTGTAAAAGAGGAAACCATCATTAGGAGAAAATTGCTCAGGTGATTTAGCAATCGCTGCATTAGAGTCCTGCTTTTTTCAAAAATTTTAAACCCTATCAAATGTCATTGTTCCCTCTGGTAAATTTGTAGTACAGACTACTGCAATTCTGTGCCACTTGTTCACATCAGATATTCAATTGAGACCTTCTGTTTGCTTTTTAAGGTCCATATTGAAATAGGTATCCTCCATATTTCTGGATAAATATAGCCAGTTAAGAAAATTTGCATGCCTGTGATGATCGTGTTTGAGAGATGAAAGTGGAGGAACATCATTTTGAAAATTGGAGGACTAGGAGAAATTTCTAAGGGGATATACTGAGAAAATTTTACTTAAATATATAGAGAGATTCCAAAAGGGATGCAATTTTTTTTTGCTTAGTTTGTTCCCATGTTTGTGAACAAAAATGTTCAGAGACTTTCTCACTCCTATGTAAGATTACAAGCATTTTTCTGCATTTTCCCCCATTTTATTTCTGTGCAAAATACAGTTTTTTTAAAAAAATGAATATTATTTCTGGCCAGAAAAGAAAGCATTTTTCTGCATTTTTCCCCATTTTATTGCTGTGCAGAATACAGCTTTTTTTAAAATGAATATTATTTCTGGCCAGAAAAGACATTGTTCTTGTGTCAGAGTGAAAAATTTCAAAGCAGTTGACTGCTTTTTCAGTGAGGTGTATCAATATCAGACACATTTTTTTTTGGTCTGCATTGTTTTGTTTTTATTGATGATGAGAACATCTTCAAATATTCATTACACCCTTATATTCCAAAACTGGCTGAAGACACATTATTGCTTGAGGAAGAGGGTAAGATGTCTTCTCCATTCTCAGTTCAGAAAATGGCCAGATATCCTACATATCTGCTGCCTGAAATAGCCCATCAATCTCTGCCTAGTGTCAGGGCCAACTCTGAATGAACATGATTTGAACCCCAGAACTCCAGACCAGTGAAATGCTGTTGCAGTGGAGATAAGACAGACAGTGGTATTGTAATACTGAACAATGGTTGCTTGCTGCTTAGTTTAACGTACCACAGGGCCTGGTCTTCCAGTGAGTCCCATAGGGCCAGGTGGCCCCCTCATGGCAATCTGTAGTAGAAAAAAGAAATATATTTAACATATGTTGCAGGCCTATAACTGCTCACCAGAAGTGACAACTTCAACTCAAGGGTGATGACCATGACAAAGAGAGTCTTGTGTTGGATGTTGCTACTAGTTCAAAGGAGGGGAACATCAATTGGCAGAGAAACAGAGGAATGGTCCATGGGTTCGAAGGCACATGGGCTACCAAATATAGATTACTTAAACCCTTTAGAAACTTTTAAAGAGTAGAATGGTGAAAAAGACTGGATGCTGCAGAACCTCCCAGTTGGTGACGGAAAGGTACTTGTTAAGGGTAGAGTAAGATAGATCTTGTTTCCTCAGAGGTAGGAGGAACTTCAGGAGAGTATGAGGAATTGTAGGACAAGGGGATTTAAGGTGACAAGAGTAATGATTTGTTATCTGTAGCACTTGCCAAAAGGAAGAAAAAAAGACAAAAAATGTTACTGGGTTGGACAAGAGCTCCCAGAGTCCTCAAACCAGCATTACCAGTAGCCATGCTGGCTAAAATATTCTGGGAAGTGTAATCTGGGAGACTGGGAAATTCCCCAATCTCTGTAGGATAAGTAATGATAATTGGCCATACTCTTAGCTTGTTCCTAGTGGAATCTCAGATTCTATATGCATAGAAGATGTCCGTTAAAAAAACCCCAAAATCTAGTCAAATGAGTACAATCTGATAAATTCCAAAACCTTTTTCTTCTCTTTTTCCAAAGTCTGCAGGGTATAACTCATTTTCATATCGAAGCTGGGTTACTTGCCTACCTCCACAGGAGAGGACATGAGGCTGTCCAAGAAGATATCATTAAAAGATTATATGATATTTATATCCAGACTACCACAGCATCTGTAGTTAGTTGCTGCTCCAATAGGATATATAATAGTTTTCCCTTGCCTTTTGGAAGCTGCCCCCTTATTTTGTCTCTTATTAGCTCACACAAACTGAGAGAACTGATGACTAAGTGCAGGTTGAACTTGCTACTGTTGAAAGCGATTCAGGGATGTTTTACAGACCAACAGGCAGACATTGTTCAGCAGGATAATCTCAAATGAAGGACATGGTACATTTTCTAACAGAATATTCTCTGTATGCAGATCTGAGGGAGCAGTATCTCAAATCCTTAACAATTGAGATCAAGAACAATTCCCCTTTATGTACAGTTTTTTTCTTCTAGTGCCACAAACTAATAAATATCCTACAGAACCATTAAATTCATTAAATAAGTCATGGAAAGATGGAAGTTATCACCTGGTTCACAAATTCTTGAAGTTAATCTCACATCTTGATACTTTTTTTGAGAATACTTACTGTATTATTCAATTGCTATCATTTTATTAATTTACGTTTTTACTCTTGTTTATGCGTACTTACATTAGATGCCAAATATTTTTTTTTAAACTAGTTTAATCTATGCTCTTGCGTACAGCCTGATCAGTTATAAAGCAATATAGTATAGTATTTTCATTTCCTTTCAATTCCTATTACTCCTCTGAAGGTGTCAGAAAGATACCTTTTTTGTCCTTCTGAAACTCAGACAAATATTGTAAGGAAATACTCACTTTCTCATAGAGAAGGAAAGATGGGAAAACACTGACATGTTTTGTTGCAAACTGGGCTCCATAAATGGCGTCATGCCAAAGCAGGAGAGAGCAATGAGTCTGGGGTGGCTGTGTGTTCCCATCTCCCCATCCATAGAGCAGTTATGAGAAAACTGTTCCTCAAAGGCAGCAGTGCAACTTGAGTCTCATTTCACATGAACCCCAGATGAGGTGAATTTTGCACCACCTCTGGATTTGGCTCTTCTCCATTTGGGCTCCGAATCGGCCTTCAGCAGAAAGGGAAACCTTCCAATGCATTTCGATCAAGAAAACATAGAGCTTGACAGGAGAAAAATATTTCCCCGTCCCAGTCTTACGGATGTTTCATTCTTACCCTGGCTTGCTGAAGAATAGCTTGAGCTTGAGCCTCTTGGGCTGAGATCGCTGGGCCCTTCTCACCGCCTCCACCAAATCGGAACTACAAAAATGGATGTATATTTTAAAATGATCAGCTGCATCAGAAATACTTTCTTCATCGAGGTATATAAAAATCAACTTATATAGGGGAGCGCATTACTTCTTTGCCTTGCTACAATCTTATATATGCTGGTTTTTCTAACCTGTCTCACAGGGGGGAAAAAACTACTGGTCTCAATGGAACCGGCTATTCTTGCACTAAAATGCAGAGGCATTAGGTGCCACATAAATCTGAAAAAGGCTGACGGGGACTATAAAGCAACTAAACGTCACAGTTTGCTCATAGAAAAAAATGGCCATTACAAAGGACATTTAGACTTACCGGCAACATTAACATGGTACCTGGAGGTCCAGCTAAGCCGTCGGCACCTGGAAGCCCAGGACGTCCCGGTGGACCCTAGAAGACATGAAGGAGATACAGGAAATCATATAACTGGTATAGGCTTATTAAAAACATCTTTCTAATACAGAATCTATATTCTCAACTGCACCCTTCTGCCCACTGATTTTTTTTTTAAAAGGGCAGAGGGAAGGCTGCTCAATGTACAGGTGCCACACAATATCCTAAAGAATGGACCATGATATGGGCATTCATCTTCTCTCAACATCAGTCCCATTAATCACCTGTAAGAACACTAGAATGCATATTTCATTGAACAAACAGTAATTTCTGATCATCTTTCTCGTTTCAAGGAAAAGGTGGAAGAATGGACATTACAAAATGAAGTAATGTAGCCAGGGCCAGCCTGGCATTTCGCTGATTAAGATAAAGGACACGCTGATGCTCACTCCCTCAATGCATCTACAGAATATAGTTGGATTAGATTAGGCATCCTTCAGTCTCCAGTTGGATGAGATTAGTCTTCAGTCTCGAGAGACTATGGTAACATACTCTGAATAGAGGACTTGGAACAGCATCTAGTGTGGCTGAGAAGGCCAATTCGAGAGTGGCAATCCCTTCCACACTGAAGACAAATACAATCTGTCCCCTGTCCAGCTCCCTGATTTGTCTGGTTTCGGGACTGCCTCTTTGCCTCAGCCTGCTGGACAAGGGTCTCTTCAAATTGGGAGAGGCCATGCTGCACCACCTGCCTCCAGGCTGAACGCTCAGATGTCAAGGTTTCCCATCTGTTGAGGTCCATTCCTAAGGCCTTCAGATCCCGCTTGCACTTAGACCACTAGTTGAATCTGACTTCCACACCAGTGATACCACCTGAGTACAGCTTGCCACGAGAAGGTGAGAGACACACATTGCTCTGCCTTCCGAAAGAATGGCCCAGGGACTCAGGAGCACTAAAAAGGTGGCTGCTGCTCCTGCTCTGCAGCATTGCTGCCTGAGGAAATTTTTTTCACTCTGCTGAATAATTTAACTATAAACACAGGGGTCCCATGGCTGATCTGATCCACACTTCCTAGATTAATGTGTGCGTTAAACTTACTATTCAGATTCTGCACTTCTCCAAATTTTGAAGTGCAGGGTGTGGCTTGAAAACTTGTCAAAATGCACTTGAAAAATGTATGCTGAGGGAGGAAAAAAACATTCAGAAATGTATATTTCAAGAAAAATATACCTCCTCCTGAATAAAATGGGGGTGGTCTGAAGGTTTTGGAGGGAAAAAGGAATTTACCAAAATAGTTGGGCAAGTTCATCCTCTCCCAGCAGCTTCTTCTATCTCCCCCAACCCCACCCCCATCACTCAGGATGTCCTGCTTTTCAAAGTAGCTTCTTGGGGGCATACATGGCTATGAGGAAAGAAAGGATAGAATGAGAGATTTCCTACCCATGAACTTTCTATCAATTTATTTTATTGAACTTGTGTGTGTGTGTGTGTGTGTGTGTGTGTGTGTATGTGTGTGTGTCTGTGTCTGTGTCTGTGTGTGTGTTTTCAACTGTCATGCAGAAGGTGACATGGAATGCTGACAGCAGTATCCAGTAAGGCAGCTGCAAATGTGAAGTTTGTTTTCTGTGATTCCATCCACAAATATTTCAGTAAATCACCACTTGTCATGGCAAGAGAAACAGATTTTCCATCAGTCATAATACAAAACCTTTTCTATATGTATGAACTACAAACAGAATTGGATCTCTTTAATTAGTGTAATTGCAAATGCATTACACAAGTTTTGTGACAAGACACAGAAGCTTTAATTCAAAGCACTATTAGATGAATGAATATAAAAATTGTTTCTGAATTATAGTTTTACAACTTAGCTATTTATGAACTTTGAAATGCTTATGCCGTTTAACTATGGGCTAAAGGCTTTGTGTTAAATACTCATGTGCTTTTCTTTGGACTAAAATCACTTCATAAGGAGTGACTCAGAAGTGAAGAAGCGGCAAGGAGAAAAATGGTTAAGTATCCTTTCTCTCTCTCTCTCTCTCTCTCTCTCCACTCTAAATCTCCTCATACTAATGTTCAGTCTCTGTAGAAAAAAGACAGAGAGCAGCAAGCTACTTGTTTGAACCACAACTGCCAGAACAGCCATGCTGGTTGGGGAATTTTGTAAGTCGTAGTTCATAAGAGTTAATTTTTGAGCTCTAAGGAAAATCTTGAAGTTTTTATTGAATGGGTATAGTTATGATATGAACTTCTATCCCAATTTCTCTTATGTAGCATCTGGCATCTCTGTAATCTCATCCACGCATATCTGAAACAGCCAAATCTTGGAAATCACCATCTCTAATAATTAAAATATTAAAAATTAAAAATATATAAAATGTTGCAAGTCTATGCCTTAATTTAAATATGTATTGTTTTTAACACTGCACAGCAACCTTTGAATAATGTATTTAAAAGAAGAACAAAGACAAAACTTAAGATGTCAGTACTTCTGTAAGAAATTGTTTCATTGCTTCCGTTTTTGAAAAATGGAAAATATATATTTAAGGATAAGACACATTTGACTAAGGAAATACTGCATTTCAATGTACATTGTTACAGGATTAAGAGATTAAACAGTACTTCTCTTTTCATTTTCAGATCCAGTATATCTCCATTTCCCCAGAAACAATGTGGGGCTTTCAATTCCGTGTTCCACTGGAAAACTCTGTGTTATATGTTTATCTAAAATATCTATATATCACCCGCCTGGTGGAGCTTCCTACATGTAAGTTGACCAACCAGTGTCAAGACATAATGCTAGACTTCAACATCACAAACAGACTGACTGTTCAAGTTGAACAGACTTCATGTCATAATTCAGGAAGGGAGTTCTCTCATTTATATGTTTGGACTACACCACGAAGAGATTCTAGCAAGCCTGAAGTATTTCAGGTACATAGGTTGATGCTTATATTTAGGATCAAACAAGAAATAATCATAAATTCATATGTGATTATTATTTCTTGCTTGAAGTACTCTTGAGTATGGACACTGCATTAAATAGATCTGTCTAGGACCAAACTATAGGGGCCTGCAGGGGTGGAGGATGAGATAAAAGGAACCAGGAATGTATGCTTATTCCTGACCTATCTCTAGGAAACTATAATCATCTTCTGAGTGAGTGAAATGCAAGCAAACACTTTACATGGGTCAGAAAATAAAGAAATCGGGTGGGGAACAGAACTGGAGAATAGTCTTCAAACCATGACTTCAAGTTACCAGTGAAATAGCAAAAAGTGGGGGGACTGGGAAGTGAAATTTGATTAGACTTCCTGTCGTCTGTACTAATCTGTTATGGCAGTTGAGGTGCCACCAAATCTCACAGGAAATTCTGTTGACAAGGCCTCCTCTTTCTCTCCTCTCTCTTAGAAAATAAAGAAGGGCAGGTGGGTGGGAAACAGAACTGGGAAAGATGCATTAAGGGAGATGTAAAAGTTGACCCTTCAGATGCGATAAAGAGAAGACCCATTGAAGAGACAGACCAAGCAACTGCACTTGCAGTCCACCCACTGATTATTGCTCACAGAGCAACTAATTAATAGGTGAGGACTAAAGAACAATAGACATCCCTTAATCCCAATTGTAAGCATAAAAAGACCATGGATGATGCTTTCTCTGATTCCCAGGCTTCTGTGCCTTAAGATACCACTAATTCCTATGCTTCCCTCCAATTTGCCTCAGGCACACAGTGCAATGCGCATATCCACAAAGATATATGGAGCACCTGTGAGGCTTTAGTGCTACTCGCTTTAGTGTTATCTCTGGAAAGCGATGGTCCAGACAGAATAAGAGTGGTAAAGAGGAGGTCCTTTGTAACCTGCAGCAGGTTCTCAAGCATCAACGCCTTGGAACAGAAGAAACATAAGACCGTGGAGAAACCTTCAGTGAATTTCTTTAATTTTGGATCAGACTGTGAGTCTTGGACACTCCACATCTGACCTGGTACAAGCCCAAATTGAACTCCTGAATCCTCTGTTCCAATGAGGCACAATTTATTTATTCATTAGTTACACTCATTTCTTGAACGTCCCACAATGAGCTGAGAGCAAAGAACTTCCCTCTCCTTCTCTTCACACAATCCTCACAACAATACTGATTTCCCCCCCTAAGGTCCTTACCTACCCTGTGACAAACCTACTCACCTGAGACAACGAGCAACTGGCTTAAGATTGCTCAGTAAGATTCATGGTGGCATGATGACTTGAATCTAGATTTCCCAGTTTCCAACACCAACACCTGAACCACAAACTCTTTCTCAAGACACTGAATTAACTTGTTACAATGTGCTGCTGTCTTCTCAGGTAGGTTGGCCTTTCCTTGCCTGTCATCACACAGCATGTGAAGTTTGTTCCATAGGGCAGATATTAGGTCTCCAGCCACTTAACCTGGCACATTTCCCATGCTCATTTATAAACCACAATGACTTACCCTCTCACCAGGGTCACCTGGAGGACCAGAAGGACCTTGTGTACCTGGGGGGCCCATAAGACCCTGTAAAAAAAGGGGGAGAACATAGTTATTTGGGTGGTGCAGAATAATTTTCTGAATAACTTTCAAGACAACTACCAATTTGGGATCACAGACTGGCAGATTATTTTGTGTGCGAACTTGTTACCAGTTTCCTGAAAGAAAGAAAGAAAATACAAGTGCAAGTACATAAGCAGTACTTTCTCTAAATCTGTTCTCACTGAGAAACAAAATTGTACATTGCTACTCATGAGAGGCTATGCAAAATACCTGATCAACTTAATCGAGTCACTATGCAAACAATTCATTTCACTATCCAATTTAATCTTTTAAAAATTAAAAAATAAAAATTTAAAAACATATACATACAGCAGGCCCTGGAGGCCCTGGAGGTCCTTCTACAAGCATCCCCTGTGGGGGAAAACACACAAAATTATAACACACTGAGTTGAAAAAGAAGCAAAGAACATACCACAATTAGCAGCACATTCACTTCCCCCACCATAAAAATGCCTTAGTTTCCGACATTCCTACAAATGCTTTAGTTTCTGATCATATTTCTGTTATTATTAAAAACACTGCATGTCAGCTTCTCAGGCTAAAGCTTGTGTTTCATAGTATTTCTCCTGCAAAATATCAAATACTTGCTTTCCATAGGACTCTTCTCTCGAAATGCTTTTTCCCCAATTTTAACAAGGAGAAGGGATTAAGACTGACCCATTCCCTTTAGTCCTTCGACCAGCAGACAAAGGCCAATTTTCCAGGCAGGCTTTTACCAATGGGGGAGGGAGGACTTTTTAATGATGTGCTTTGAACATTGTTTTTATTTTGATTGCATTTGAACTTTGGAACTGGATTAATTGGGTTTTAGTATAAGAACATTTTGAAAGGAACTAGAATCTCTATTTTGAGAGAAAAGTGGGATATCAATCAATAAGTGAAACAAACAAACACAGCTTCAGATTGTAGAAACATCTGTCTTTTATGGTCATATCTCATTTTGCTCAGACGCGGTCTGGATGTGGTTGTCTGAGGCCATGTCAGCCCACTTAGGACCTCAGTGCAGCAGCCAGTGGAAGCATACAGCATTGCCATTGAGTTCACAAGCTGGGATTGCACTGAAGTGGCAGCTGTATAAACTTGAGCCATTGGTGGGAGGTGGATACTGAAGTTTGTATAGTCACTGAGGCTACCTCCCAAGCTGCTAGCAATGGTGAAATCTCAACAACTAAAGATTGAACATCCACAAGGAGACATTGCGAGTGCCCTCGCACGACCCCTAAATGAGGCATTTATTTCCTAATTAGGCTTGCCCTCAACATTCACCCACTTCAGTTTAAGAAGAAAAGTACTGTTGAGGCACAAAACCCAAATTATTATGCTCTCCACCCTTGTCCCCAGTGTTTAGAATGTCCTTAAAAAAAGTTCTTGCCTGTAGAACTACTTTGGCCTTATCTTCCCCCTTTCATTAAATTGCCTTATCCCTTTATAGAGATCCAAGTTCATTAAGTAACAGCATTAACTAGCCAATTTGACACAAAGGTTGCTACCTGATCTTATCTCCATGAGCATATACAGCTGGAACAGAAAGACAGTAGTGCTTTTTGGACTGATCTCTAGTCAATCAGGAATCGTAAAGTGAACTCAGGATATTACTAAGACTATCTTAAACAAGCATTTTTATTGTATCTCACAGTTACTCAGAAAAAAAATCTTTAGCAAAATTGTGAGTTTTGTAGGTCTCAGCAAATTATCGCTTGGAACCATTTGAATACCACTACAATATATCCTTTGACCAATCTTTGGGAGGCAGTGGAAGACAGGAAGGTCTGGCGTGCTCTGGTCCATGGGGTCATGAAGAGTCGGATGTGACTTAATGACTAAACAATAACAACAGTATATCCAGCTTAGGCTACAGGGCAAGACTGCTTAAAATGTGAGGGATGGGGGTGGGCAGGGACTAAATTTGCCTGGCTTTTACACATTGTGACTCCAAGTGACTTAATTAGGATGCAGGTCATAAGGCAATAGTGCAGGCACATAAGAAACTCAAAGGATGCCATTTTTACATTTTATCTCTAGTTCAGAGAGGGGCGTAACTAAAGATGTGCTTCTCTCTCCCTCTTAAAAGATACACCACCAGGCTATTTCACCAGGGCCATCCAGTTGGACCTGAAAATCTGTCCTGCAGAAACTAAGCCAAAAGAAGACACTTATTGCTTCAGCAGTACTTTGTGTTGCTTCAGAAACTCCCTTATGTTCATGATTTTGTTAGTTTAGGCTAGCCATGTTTGCATTACCACTGATAGAGAGGGACTCTGCATACATCATCGTGTGAGATGTTCAGTAGCTAGGAAAGCCAGACATTGTGTGGGACACTTGCGTGCAAATGTCTATCCTTATTATTGACAGTGTGTTTCATCTTTGGCTTGTGATTCAACTGCTGTTTCAGTCCCATCATCATCTATCACTGGTGCTAGTATCTATTGCTCTATTTTCCCTAAAAATGGCACTGCTAACAGGGGAGACAGGAAGCAACATGGGGGCAGTGGAAGACAGGAGAGCTTGGCATGCTCTGGTCCATGGGGTCACTAAGAGTCAGACACGACTAAATGACTAAACAACAACAACAAATAGGGGAGAAATCTGTTGCTGGGAAGGAGAAGAATCCTGCCTAGCAATGGGAGTAAGTCACTCTTCAAAACTGAAATGATAAAGGTTTAGAAAAGCAGAGCATTATGAGCCAAGATCAAACTGATGCCAGGTTCATAACAACCACTACTTCTTGCAACTGGTGAGACAAAAGCAGCTGGGGGGGCAGAGGCAATTTCAGTGTCACATGTTTCTGAAATAGAGCCCACCTGAGTCCCCTCAAGTCTCCTCCTTCCCTGTATCAGATGTGTACGTACTTGAAGGGGAGTTTCCACCAATCACAATGTTGCTTTGCACAGGGGAGATTTGCTGGGAATGAGGTCTAGAAGAAAGCCCTTCCATGAATATGATGGAACTGCATGAAATAAATATGGAAGGCAATATCTGTTGCTTTTTATAAATCTCTTTCTCAACCACAAAAGCAACAGCACTGCTGTTGCTCAAGCTGGAAGTGTCCATCTGAGTGCTGATGCCATCCCTGTCCTTCTCTGGCACATTGGATATTTGCAGGAAAAGTGCCTTCTTCATCTTCTTTTTTAGCCCCGTGCCCTGACTGCCTTCCTGGATTGCACAAAGTTGGCTGGAACATGTTTGAGGTTCATTCATAACTGCCTCACTGAACCTGAGGCTTCTCTGACATCTCCTTGACAAAGAGTTACACAAGCCCTTTACTGCTGCCTGCTGCTCTTTCATAGTGTCAGTGCTGAACAAGGCAGCTGGGTGAGAGATTTTGTTTTAGAGGCTCATAATAGCAGTTGTGAGCTGTCTTTTTCCTTTCCCTCTCCCAAGCCTCTCAGTAGAAGCTACTGTGGTGGGTGCAGGAAGCATTCCCGCAGCCTTCCCCAAGTGCCAACTTCTTCTACCACTCCCATGTTTCATGTTGACTGCAAACTCCACCCAAAGAAGAACAGAATCTGACTCTGTTACAGCAGAAGATAAACCCTTCCCACGAAAAGCACACACACACACACACACACACACAAAAATCAATGAACCTAATAGATCTATCTATATATAACAAAAGTTTATTCCTCTGCCTGACAAAGGGGCCTAAATATAATATTAAAAATTCCTCTTGATTTATAACATGTTAATATATGCATCTACTAATCATAAATCTCATTCCTAAGTATATTAAACAAACAATATACAATGAGATGCAGATAATGTAAATGTAAGTTGAGGCTTCAGAGAAGAACACAGAAGAAACTGCTGCAGTGCAGGCTTGCATCAGAGCATATCCTAACAGCAAATGCTTTATGAAGATTTATAAGCAGTTGTGCCCAATTTTCAGTCAGAAAGAACCAAAGTGAAAAAAAAATACCCCCTGGTATCTGTGCCTGCTTCTAGATTTCATTGGAGCTGACAGACATCATTTACAGGTTTTGCTTTCATCCCCAACCCCCTCCTTTGGGAAACCCACAAAAACACAAATTGGGAGACACCTAGTTCTCTGACCCCCCTACCCTTTGTGCCAGAGTTAAATTTAATCGTTCTAGGATGCTTGACATATAGGTTTCACTTTAACATCTTCTGCTAGCATGCAAAAACTAAGACTTTTTCTTCCTAATTTATAGGGGTAAAAGCGACTTCAAATGTTAGGAATTATTACATATATTTGGAACTATCAAATCTGGATTTAGATATATTTGGAACTATCCAAATAGGACATTAGTCAATGCATTTTGAATATTTCCACACCTAAATGCACATCTTTATTTAAAATTAGCTGATATAAAAGAGCAGGAAAATTCAAAAAGTCTTCATGCTCCTTTCACCTGCACCTCGACCTTCTGAAAACACTTTCTCCATTTATCAAGGAACGTGCAGTGGGGAGCTCACTCATAGCACATGGCAAGAATCACCTTCTAAAATACTCACAGGTTCAACCACAGCTGGTTCTCCCTTTTGTCCTTTTTCCCCATACGCACCATGGCCATTCACCTGCCAAGTCAATACAGTATACAGAGGAAAACATATTAGAAGGTAGATGAGTCTTAAGTGCTGTGTTACTGAAAATGCTAAGGGTATGCCATACTATTCTCAAAATTAATGGTTCTTGAATTATAGACAGCTGAATGTTTAAAATTATTTTGCTGAAATCCTGTTCCTTAGCATAGCAAGTTTCACTACAGAAGGTTCGTTTGACTCAAGAGAACAGACAGAGGAGTTGATGTATCAAGTCCCCACTGATTCAGTGGGCCTACTCTAGTGCAAATCACTACACTAAGCAAAAGAATTTCAGTCTTTGGCTTCAAAACAAGATCCTGGATAGTTGAATTACTCCTTTGATACACTTAATGTAAGACCCTGAAAATACTTACTTTGGTTTATAGCATTAGTTTCTGGATCTTTCCAGCACTGAACCTTTACAAAAAGATATTAATAATTATGAATGGGTAAGAATTTTCTTTCAGTTCATTTTTGATGGCCATTTTCTCAAAATACCTTTCTTTGTATTTTAAGCCAAATATGGCAGAAATCATAAAACATAGATTCATCTGTCTATGCCCAAAGCATTCAGATTCTGAAAAGTCTGGCTCTTACAGTATAGCTCACAGGGTATACTAGCTATAGGAGTCTGGAAGGCATAGTCCAAAAAATGGAACTACTGTATCCTCAAGTGCGATCGTCTCTCCTCCTTCAAGCTGCTAGAGTTAAGAGAACCAGTTGGAATCCTAGGGAATTGCTATTTTTTTGGTTTGTTTTGTTCAGGTTTCCAAGTGGGAAGAGGAATCACAGCGCAAGCAGCATTGGAGGAGAACAGTGAATTTTTTTAATGTAAAATGGCCTTCATACACAGGACTGGCAAATTTCTAGGAGTCTGAGAACACACATACCTCCCACTGGATGAAGGCCTACACCTGCTCTGATGCCTCCCAATATATAGTGTTTTTCTTTTTCTGACTACCTGCACATAGAGGCTGTAGTAAGCAATTTGGTCATTTGAGGTGTTGCTCCTGAGCTATGCTGAATGGCTCCCCACCCTCGGCTTAAATCTGTGTAAGAGTACAAAACACGGTAAAAACTGTCCCCCTTGCTGAAAGCAGTTCTGACCCTCTCTCCTCACGCTGACTTGCTTTGTGTTTGTGGATTACACATGGGCCCCAATCTCAGGTTCTGACACTGAAACTCTGGGAACAGCATTCTGCTAACCCTGCAACCCTGCAGTCCTCCCTGATCCATCTCTCTGTGCTCTCTACATTTGACAGTCACAAAATGGCCTTCACGGACTCGAGTTTGTAACAAGAGACAAAAAGGGCGGGCAGGTATATAAAAAGCTGCTAACCATCCCATACATTCAAAGAGTACTTTGGCTGTGTCCAACTTACGCTTGTTTCTGTGATATCTGTCTCTGCTGGAACACCAGGCCCAAACTCCTCATTAGTAGGAATAGTTGGTTTTTCTTCATATTCCTTATATTCATAAAAATCATATTCGCCTAAATCTCCATCTACCACAACTTCAGATTCACTGTGGTCTACTCGTCTGTTTCCATAATCTGTTTCCTCAGTTTTTTTATTTTCTGAGTTATATTCCTCGCCCGTTAGGTATTCTTCAGTAAATACTTCTTCAACAGGAATTTGCTATTCATATAAGCAGCAAAAGTTTGGGGAACAGGATGAATATGTGGATTATTGTTAGTCAAGCAATGTGAGCATTCAATAGATTTTAATATAACAACCAAGGTTCTATTGAATACCACTGGATCACAGAACCTTGCACTGTGGTTGTGTGAACAGTGATCCACTTTAAGAACATCCAGTGTCCACTTGCACAAAGGGGCTATATAAGGCTTTCTTGTGCAAGTGGCGAGAATGCCAAACTGCCCATTCTATTAGCACTTTGGCTCAATAGAATCATAGCCAAGGGTTGATGAAATAATGGTATTTCAGGCTAGTTGCTTTTGTTTCTGAAAAACTGCGCAGTCAGTGTTTCGGAAGCCCCTCCCAAGATCCCGCAATGCACAATGAAATTGACATTCTCATTAAATGTACATTTTTGTTTCATTTGCAAAAATAATCATATGGAGCCTAAGAACTATTGAAGCATCTGGAAATATTTAGTGCATGTTTTTCATCAACCTAGGTTTTTAGCCACTGAATTTTGCAGTGTATGCCACACATGGCTGTTAGCATACACGTACCCATACCCACAACCATAACCTTTTATGTTTGGACTTTCATTTCTATTGTCAATAAAACTGTTAAAATAATGTATAAAATAAGTTAAATGGGTGATTACAATATAAGGTTGACAGGAAGAGAAAAAAATCAAAAAGCAAATTTAGTCTCAACTACGGAAATCCCATAGATAGTAACAGATGTATTTGGGTATTGAGAAACAAGCCCCTTCTATTCTGAATAATACATTCTGGTTGGGGCTAAGTCTAGAAGTACTGAAAAAAAATCCATTCTTCAATTTATATATATATAGGTTTTCAGTTTTGTAAAAGCCTTAATTTTAAAGTGGTTTAAAGTTATATTTATATAACAAAGCACCCACATTCACATAGGTCAGATGCCAAATCCTCATGAGAAGATTTAAGCACAGAGAACTGAGGGCAGGTTTTAACAAACTTCATGATTGAAATAAAGATCCATGTGATATAACACATGTATCTTTTAAATGCAACTTGATTCTGCTCAGTAGAGATCCAAACACAGACATCCAAATGCAAGAAGTGAGATCTGTACATGAAATCTGGATCTGTGTGAGATTCCTACAGTGGTTTGGGACCAAGTGCAGAGAACAGAAATGAATAGATATGTATGTGAATGCCCATCCACATTGTGTTGCAGATCCAGATATGATACAAGCACCAAGGAAATGAGCATTCACTAGCTGGTGTAAATGAGATGCATGTTACCATGCACACTGCAATGTGGATAGGAATGTGCATCATGACTGTAGTCTTGGATTAAATGCACATTGTTCTGTTAAACTTTATCTACATTGCACATTGGAATGAATGGAGTATATAATGAAAAGCAATACCAATAGGACAGGAACTACAGAGTCACATTATAAACTGGGCTAAGCACAATATACTTGTGCACTCAACAAAAATCTGTTTCCTTTCCTTCCTCATCTGCAGCTCTAGACGTCACTTAAGAACCACCTGAAGATTTACTTGCCCTCTGTAGTTGGGTTTTGGGGTGTTCATGGGGCAGCAGTGGGAATGGGAAGCACCCTGCCCTTACATAAAATTCTGGTACTGCAGTGATTTCCAACCTTGGATAACTCAGGTATTCTTGGACTGCAACTTCCAGAAGCCTTCATCACCAGCTGTGCTGCCTGGGGTTTCAGGGAGTTGCAGTCAAAGAACACCTGGGTTATCCAAAGTTAAGAATCACTGTGTGATTGGATGAGTGGATACTCAACACTGGGTATCATCCCCACATCTCTGCAAAAATGATTATGACCATCTTCTATCTCAAACACTATACATTAAGGGATATCAATTTGAACATGCTTTCTTCTCCTGCAATGCCTGTTGAAGATAAACTGATACTTCTTTCCATCTTCATACTGAGAAAATCTCAAATGGGTGCAAGATCCTGTGTCACAGTTGAGCTGCATTGAATTAAGACTATACATTTGGCGTGACGTCCAACAGCTCATGCAAGTAAAACCCTAATAAATATATGCTTGTAGTCTTTTGAAGTCCTTTCTGAAATAAGGGTTAAAGGGCAAGTTTCAAATATGGAAATGTATGGATCTCAGAAATATGACATGTTAGTTTGAACTTTAAGGTTTCTCTTAGAATAATGTGAGTTCACCTGATTATGACTTGGTAATAATTGACTAATTATTGACTAAAGTCTTTGAAATATGCTTGCCTGTATATTTTCCATTCCTCATTACCTCATTTGGTCCCGTAGTTTGACTAGGAGTTGCAGTTTGATAGCCTTCAGCAGTTCCATAGTCAGTTTCAGCCACATTATATTCATGATATTCATCAACAACATTGACCTAACATGAAAGAAAAAGTTATGGTGTTAACCACAGAGGAAACAGGTGGGCATCCAGAAGGAATCTCTATTTAATTTGGTTATAGTATTAGCCAGAGGTGTATTCATCTACTGGGGTTAGAGCTACTTATTTCTCATCATCAGAGATCTTCCAGGTTTGGTTTAGGAAAGATCTTGATCATTTTGTGGCAAATTTTACCCCTATTTTGCCTTCTTCTGCAGCTTGATAGTTTTTCTTCTTCTTGGATGTATATTTTTCAGATTTTTTGAGTATGAACTTTTGGGGACTGTTCTTTGAGCTAGTGGCCACTGTCCTCTTCTTCTTTTGTGCTTTGTTCTTTTTCTGGAAAAGGTGGTGAAAGATGGAATGGGAACACATAAATACATGAAAGGGGAACAGCAGCAAGGTACAAAGGGAAGCAGAGGAAGAAGAAGCAAATATAATAAACACTGCTGATGTCAGTCTTCCAGTCTTCTACTGCTGGGTGAAAATGAGATTTACAAACAGGAGAGGAGGGAAGAGGGAAGAGATGAAAAGCTTGATTAACATAAGACACCACATGACAAAACTAGGTGACAGGGACTTCAGACAACAAACACACCACATGCTGTTACCTCAGTCTGTGCTACAGTCTCGTCGTATAGTGGGGGTCCCTCTGTTACAGTGTCAAGGTCTTTATAATCTCTATAATCTGGATCCCCATAGTCATAGTCATATTCGATTAAATCGTCCGTTGCATACTAAATTGCAAAAGGGAAAATACCAAGCATTGCTGGGTTAGTGCAAGCAAATTATATTAGCAAAGTCATGGAAAGCTCTTTCTTAACTTTTACTTGATGAGAAGAAAAAAGTTAAGAGAAGTAAAACACCAGATTTATAGTAGTACATTTCCTTTTTTCCCCCTTTTCCCCTCTTCATATTTACATAAAATAAACATGTGCAATGAAAAAGCAAGAATGCAAAAGGTTATTTCTGAAAAATGTGGTGCCCTGAATATGGAACTTTGTGGTGTGGTTTGTCATTAGCAGACATTTTGTGTATAAGTTGTACACAGAAAACCTGTTACATAAAACTACTTATTAAAAAGTGTATTTTATGTTTCTTTAATGTCATTAATTAGCTAGCAGATTCTATTAGCTGCCTGAAGGCAATATATTGTAAAAGATTTCATTTAGATCCTGTCCCAAGTGTACAGATTTGCATTTTTGGACTACAGCTCCCAGCATATGATTCCCTAAATATGCCGTGTTAGGGTGCCAACATGGATTTTGGCCATGTTTCTTTTGTGTGGCCAGAAAACATTTAAATTTAGCAAATAAAGCAGTAAAGTTCTCCACAAATAATAAATCCCCTGCATGTAGCATTACAAGGCAGAACTTAGACAACACTAGGGCCAAAAATGGTAGTCATATGTTTTGTTATCTTCTCATCTCTCGCTCTCTATTTCCTTGATGACGTTTTAAAAGACTTTCCTTGGGTTGTGACACTATGATGTTGTATCTGCCCATTCATTTCAGTAGCAATCAGTGATGTGGTTTGGGGTGCGGGATGTATGACATTGTGACATCATGATGTTAGGTAATAAAATGTTTAAGAAAAGGAAAGAAAATGGAAGAAGGTGAATTTTTTGAGTGGTTGCTATGTATTTTATGTAACTGGACCTCCTGGCTAAGTTTGCTTCCTAGCGTACTTTTTTAAAAAAAAAATATTTTTATTTTTTTACAAAAATAAGCATTCAAAGAGATAAATGCCAACTGTAGTTAAAAGTGTCAGTCCTGGATGTTATTGCAATCAACTCGTATGTAAAAATAGCTTTGAGCTATGGGATGTACTCTGTGGGAAACAACAATCTAGAGGTAGATAAACACGTCAATTCACATTCTCTCGCATGCAGAAATTTTAATTTCATTTTCCCCCCATCAAATTTACAAAATGATGCAAAATTTATTATACAAAATTCTGAACCAGACAAAATTCTTATCCATTACTATCAAAGATTGCAATGGTGTATTGTGATTTTTCTAATCAGAGAAGCAGCTACTAGAGCCTTCAGTGCTATCACATCTCATATTCCAGCCACTTATGCTGAATAGTTTAACTCAGATGAAAGGATGGGAAATGAACTCTTATTGACAAGTTTCTTTTTGCACATGCATTGATTAGTGAGCAGAAGGACTATTGATGCAACAAGTGTGCACATCTTTTTCTCTCCCATCACTGGGAAGTAACTGCAACATCAGATTATTATTTTTTTTGCCCATTGTGAATTTTACATAAATAAATGTACACAATTCAAAATGTACATCTTACAAACATATGCACAAAATCAGCTTAGTCAACAGGAACAATGCATATGAAATGAATTTATTAATAAAAATGCATAGGAAAGGGCATAAATTAGGAATTTCATAACTAAAAAATAATACTGGGCATACAAAGGAGGAGAGGGGCTTATTTTTCCCATCCATGTCAGACATAATAGATCCTGGCACAATCACCCGCTGATATAGGGTGTGTGTAACTGTATATTAT